TTCGTTCTACCCGTCTTGGTATTGTAATGAAAGGTCTAATCGATATCAAACTTTCCCGCGCGACTCTTTTTCGAGATCAGTGGATGGCAGGGCCTGATTTGGGGGGGGGGGGTAGAAATTAATTTTCTTTTTCATGGTATTCTAATTAAAAGTCTCAACGAAAGGAACCGTTTTCTATACCAACAACTGCTGACTTTCTGACCCCGTATCAAAGGAGGGGTTTGTCTTCCTCTTCGAGTCTTCAAAAGAGACGCCATCGAACGTAATACCGATGGGTCTGGGGGAGTATTGAATACTTCCCAGCGGGGAAGGCGGTGTCAGCAATCCATCTCGAGGATCTTCACGAATTAATGCAAACTTATTGTTATTTTGTAAGTAAATTCGTTGTAGAACGTTACGACGCCTACGCGAGTACATTAGCGACACTTGAACCAAAGTACTTGTTTCTCGATTACGACATCTCAAGGTATAATTATGCCTGTCACCTGCGAAAGCACGAACCGCACAAATTATTCCATAAGTTGTGTAACTTTCATTAAGAACGTCGCTTCAGTTTCCAAATTACACTGAATGGAACTTAAATAAAACTTCGCTACACTTTACAAATCAGTTTCGGATTTGATTTGTGTTCCTTATCGACTTCATCTCCTATGAAAGCGCCGTGAACAAAACACCCCAGCCCCTAATTCTATTTGCACGTCAGTATATAGACTCTAATTAATTTATTGCTATACGTTTCCTTGTCGCTTTAATTTTGAATAATACCGCATCCCCTCAGATCCGGCGTGCAGATTATGCGCACATCAATAAAGGGATCAGAAGCATATGCTTTTATATTTTCGATTTGTTTTGTGACCGTACCCTACTGGAAGCATTTTTAATTAAACTTATAATGTAGGTAAAAGAAGTTTCAATTTAATCACATTAAATGGCTGAACGAAGTCGAAGTCTAATTTCATTTGGTTAACTAATTAGCTTTATAAGCGTCAGCCAGCAGAAGATGACCTCTTTTATACGGGGACAGGTCCAATTTTTATCGTGAGCAAATGATATCCACTCAAAGGTGAGGAATTACGATTGCATTGTCCCAAAAATACGCACTGATAAATATACACCTTTCTCTCTAAGGAGATTATTAACCACGTCAATTACTGTAAGTTATATTAACCTTTTTGAGGTAGTGGTCGATTGTTTTTAGGAATTTCCATAGCAAAAATTTAGTTCGAACTAATATTGATCTTCCTAAAGAAACCGACCTATCAGGATTATTTGCGGAAACAAATTTTGTATGGTGTTTATTGATCAGAATCAAATCCAAGCAAAGGATTTTGGATATTTACACAAGGCGAATTCTCCAGGAGTCAATTATTATCTCGGAGACTTGTTTCCGGGCGTCTATTACCTTAAAAAGCATTTTCCCATTGGGGTAACTTTAAGAAGCGATTATTTCTGGGGCGAATAATCCCGAAAGGAATTATCTGTGGACGAATACTCCTATTCTCGAGACAGACTTCCTGTTGGAGGCGAATTTTTTAATAATCGGTACTAAAAATGTTTTAATTTGATGTATGTAAACGGCTAGAAACTTCAACTCTGATTTTCGGTAAACGACTAGTACAGATAATAAATATTCGGTGGCGAAGCGACTAATTGCGCTTCCTTCAACAAAAAAAAGGGGTAGAAATAAAGCCCCATTTGAATACTCATCTAAATTAATAGCTGAATTAACATCGCCGTAATGTAATTTACCTCTATTGTCAGTACGTGAGTGAGCAGTCAAAGTATTTGGCGTAAAATTGTTTGAATCGTCCATTAAATTGTATGTACTTGAAATGCCTTGAAAACGTTTCCCGTTCACGCTTTATTGCCGGAAGGAGCGTAAAAAATCGTTCCGTTTCTCTTTCCATACATGTAGTATTTGTAACGCTTTGGTGGGCCGCACAATAACGTACGGACGATGATTGATAGGAGGAATAACAACCCTTATTATTGCTTTACGATCATTTGTCATAATAGTTCGACGCGTAGGGGTGCAAAATCGTCGCCAATGCTAATCTTTCATTGGACGTTCTGATTGATTGCCTACACTGCATATGTGACGCGGCTAGACGCCACGTATTTATTTCACGATAACACCAGGGCAAAAACGTATTTCCGTGAATCCAATCAGTATTTTTTTAGAAATTGCGCAACCATTCTTTGCTGTCTGCGGTCTGCCATTATGCAATATAATTCAGTCATTTCCTAATTATTTTCACCTTTTGCAAAACACCCCATGAAGGGTACCAATTTGTAATCCTTTAATAAACTCAAGAATATCTCTGCTGGTCAGATAATTAATTCATTTTAGTAAACAATGGTTCAAGTATTCCTAAACAAGTAAAATCTAAATCAGCAAATGAACGTATTTCAAGACGCACAAAAATATACGCGATTCTGTTCCTTTCACCGATAGTTCGCGCAAAACGGAAATAATAGAGACTAGAAAATAATTAACGCCCGTTACAGTAGCCCCTCCTATTCTTAAAAACACAGTGAAAATAAAAATGTTTGGAATTCAATGATACCAGGGTTGGTTTGTTGAGACATAGGTTACTGCCTGTAATTTAATAGCACTATTGAATTTTTCTGGCAATATGAATTTTTTCATGTTTCTCTTCCTCTTTCTCCAATTTCTTCGCTTCCTTGCCATTCCCTTCTTAACTGGGCCTTTTTCAATTCTTAAAATTTCTTCAATTCTTTCCCTTTATAGCACTCTTCATTTCTTATTCTGGTTAAGGTTATACTTGCTCTAGCAAATAATTTCGTTCTAACGCCGTTCCTAACTGCTCTATGACCCTATTATCATACGCATCGTGGTTTTTGCCGTTTTCGTAAAGTGTGAAACGTGGGGCATCCGTCAAGAAGACGCATTCGTTAAAAAAATGAGTTTTATTAAAGGTCCCAGAGCCAGCGCGAATCAGAGAATTGGGTAGTGGTTTGCGGTATGTCGTAGGGCAATGCGCGTTAAGTCACGATAACGTACGCGTTGAGCGGTGTGTTCCATGTGCGAGTGGTCGTTGAATACAGTCCTGACTTTTTAAATGCGAGCGACAGCTGTTGATGGCGCTAGTGAGTTGTGGGAGATGCCGTGATTCCTTCGGATTACAGGGAGATTTTGTTTATTATGAAGCCATTGTCACGAGATGGGTGTCGATAAAGAACGAAAGCAAAGGGAGAAAAAAAAACAAAAACAGAAACGACTAGAGAAATGAAGAATGAATCAAAAAGAAAAACAAAGTAGGGACTGATAGCGAATATTAAAAGAAAAGAAAAATAGACATAATCGAATCGTAGTCAACCAACATAGAAACGGAGAGTGAAACGAAAGCGAAGTAAAATGGAACGGAGCAACCGACGAAAACATGAAGGGTGATAGACACAGAAAGTGAAATAAAAAAGAATGCAAAGAGAGCAACCAAAGTTTAACAAAAAGACGAAAGAAGAAACAGGCGGGCCGAAATCGAACCAGAAATTGAATAGGAAAACGACTAGAAATACGGAAACAACAGAAATGCAAATGTAAATGAAAACGGAACCTAACTCAAAGAAAGTGAACAATTAAGAAGGGGTGCGAAAAAGTAGGGAAGGAGGAATTAAGGTGAAAATGAAAGCGAAGCAAAATTGAAAACGAGAAAAAACATAGAAGCAATTACTGAAATAAAACAAGAGAACAGAGATACTAAAACGGGACAGCAAAGGTACGAAAACAGACAGTTATGTACAAAGGGAAACGAAAAGATACATGAAAAAGAGAATGAATTGGAAAAAAAACTGGGGAAAGGGAGCTGTAAGGGGAAATGTAAAGAGTAATAAAAGGAACGAATACGTATCAAAATAAAAATGAAAATGAGCGAGACGAAAACTAAACGAAACGGACACAAAGAAGAAAGAAATAAAGGATGAGAAAAATAAACGGCGCACTAAGAAGCGGAAATGTGGCAGCGATAAAGGGAAAACAAAGGGAAGGAAACGGCATAAAACATACAGATAGGGAAACATAGACGAAATACAAAATAGAAAGGAAATGAGAAGCAAACTAGGAAAACGAAATGGAAGCGAACGAGAAAAAGGATAAAAAACATAAAAAAAATTGAGAATGAACGTTAAAGCTTGGCCAA